TACCCTGAGCTAAAGACTTACAAAGAAAAAAGATGTAATGTCAATGGTAAGTAATGTTAAGTCTCTGCTATTGTCTCTGGCTATTACTCAAAAAGTAGATTAGATTATGTCATGAGTTGGATTCTGCGAATATTGTATATACTTGCATACTTTGGAATTTGGAGAGCTATTCTGCACTTTCCAATTAGGCAGTGATAATCTTGATGAAGGCTACCATTATTAATATTGTGAACCATTTATTTCCAGGAATAGAGAATGTTATATTACCCATTTTGCATTTTCTTACCTATATAAATAGGATCAGTTAGGGAAAACCCCAAACACTTGGAACATTTTACTATTACATTGCTGCTAGAGGATACATTGATCTATACAAATTTGTAATTTTTCCCTGGTTGGAGAAAATCCAAGAATCATCCTTAAAGTCAACCTATTGATTAAAGTACAAATCTTTTACTCAGTGGATGCTAAATGTATTGTTCAAACTTGCCAAGTGCACATAAAGAGAAGGTAGTAGATGACATCTTAGACAAAATCTCTCTGAATTTTTGATGAAACAATGACAAGCTCTTTGCTCATCTAATAATGTTTTACTTGGTGATAGGAAAGGCCAAAATGTAGATCAGGGTTGTGAGATATTATAAAAGGTGAAAGAGATTCTGTTGCTTATAGAACTTTCTACAAAAAGTTAATCTTTGACTAGGTTGAAGCTACACATAGCATAAATCCTAAAATTCTGCTTGTTCCATGAACACTTGCTGCTCAAAACTCCAAAGGTGAAGAGCTACTGAACAAAGGTCATATACCAGTAGCAAATGCCATTTTTCCCCTCAAAAATTGTTATGGAGAGAGTGATATAATCATCATGGAAGAGTAAGTTGTTTCTTTTGTCTCTCCCCTCTAAGTTACAGCTAAAAGGAATTTCATCAACCAACAGAGGATTCCCTACACAATACAACAAGACACATGAGAGATCCACACAGCTATACATCTGAAGCTGGGTAGATTGGATCCCTGAGAAGCAGTGGAACTAGGTGAGTGGACCCCTGCTCCTCCCTGGCAGCAGCAATCCAGATCACAGCTCCTCACTCAGCAGCCAGCATGACAGAGTGGAGGTGGGGGCAGTCTGGCCTGCATGTGAATGCTTTGGGGGTGGTAGCCTGGCCTGTGGGAGCACCCACCTACTTAATTGGCCCCACTCATGAGAATGTTCCCACTAAACAGTGCCAGCTTAGTCCACATGAATTCATCTTGCCTGCCAAGCACAACAGCTTGTCTGGACCTGCCCACCAAGTATACTACCCAGCCTGTGGGTAGATACCCCACCTGCCAAGTAGAGCAGACTTGCTGAACCTGTCTGTTGAATACAGCAGCCCAGCCTGCATGAAGTCACCCCACCCATGTGAGCACAACCTGCTTGCTGAACATAGTAGTCTGCTGAGCACAGAGGACCTACATACATGAGCATGGCCTGCTGAATGGCTGCAACCATGCCATATGAACACAAAGCTGCCTGGCCAGCATGACTATTAGCAGATGAGGCATAATTAGGAAACACAGCCCCTTCCTCACCCCAGCAGGGGCAGGTGGAATGTGCAACCTGACACTATCACAAATGTGTTGGCAGATGATCAATTCATCAAGAACATGAAGAACCACAGTAACACTATAGAACAAATGACAAATATGAATATGACAAATCTCCAGAAACCAAACTTGAAGTCACAGAAGATTATAACCTAAATGACAGAATTCAGAATAGCTATCATAAAGAAACTCAACAAGTTACAAGAAAACACAGAAAGGCAGTTCAATGAGATTAGCAATAAAATTAATGAATAGAAGGAATACTTCACCAAAGAGATTGAAGCCTTTTAAAACAAACTACACAGAAATTCTGGATATGAAGAACGCAATTAATGTGATAAAAAATGTAGAAATCATAAAAAAGAGAGCAGAAATTATAGAAGAAAGAGTAAGTGATTTAGAAGATAGAAATCCAGAAATGCTTCAGGTGGAGGAGAAGAGAGAACTTTAAAAAAATGAAGATTTAGAAAAACGAAGAAATTCTTTGAGAAATATCCAACTCAATTAGGAAAAGTAATATAAGGATTATAGGTATCCCAGAGGTAGAAAAGAGAGAGAAAGAAGCAGAGTGCTGGTTCAAAGAAATAATAGCTGGGAACTTTCCAAACCTGGGGAAAGAACTGGAATTATAAATAAATGAAACCAGTAAAATTCCTAATTACATCGAAACGACCTTCTCCAAGGCATATAATATTAAAACTGTCAAAAGTCAAAGACAAATAAAAAATATTGAGGACAGCAAGGCAGAAGAAAATAACCTACAAGGGAACCTTTTTCAGGTCTGCTTTCAGCAGATTTCTCAGCATAAATCTTACAGACTAGGAGAGAATGGAATGATATATTCAAAATACTGAAAGAAAAAAACTTTCAGCCAACAATACTCTGTCCAGTGAAAGTATCCTTCAGATATGGAGGAGAAATAAAAGCTTTCCCAGATAAAGAAAACCTGAGGGAATTCATCACCACTAGACCTGCCTTACAAGAAATGATGAAGGGAGTCCTCCTACCTGAAACAAAAAGGCTAAGTTTTACAAAGCTTTGATCAAGAAGATAAATAGACAGATAAAATCAGAAAATTGCAGTTTCTATCAGAACAGGCTAGCAAACGCTTAATTATAACATAAATATAAAAGGACGACCGAAAGTATCAAACATAAACACTTAAATTTAGTCACAAACTCACAACACAAAAAAGAATGATTTTTTACAACAATAACTTGGAAGGGGAAGAGGCAGGGGAAGGAACCTGCTTAAGGTAATGGAGACAAGAGGCTATCAGAATATAATCTCATCTATGAGATCTTTTATACATACCTCATGGTAAGCACTAAAGAAAAAATCATAGCAGAGACATAAATCATAAATAAAGAGAAAATTGAGAAAATCACCAAGCTAAAATGGTAGTCAGAAATAAAAAGGAAGATAAACAATAGAAATATAGTACAACTGGAAAACGAGAGATAAAATGGCAGTATTAAGCCCTCATATATTAATAATCACTCTAAATATAAATGGATTGAATTCTTCAATCAAAAGACACAGAATACTTGGATGGATTGAAAAATGAGATTCAACAATATATTGCCTCCAGGAAACACATCTCAGTTCTAAAGACAAACATAAGCTCAGAGTGAAGGGACAGAAAACAATACTTCAAGTATATGGCAAACAAAAGAAAGCAGGTATTTCCATACTTAGATAAGACAAAGCAGACTTCAAAATAAATGACAATCAGAGACAAAGAGGGACAGTATATAATGATAAAAGGGACATTCCAACAAGAGGACATAATACTTATGAATATATATGTACCTAACACAGGAGCACCAAAGTATATAAAGCAACTATTAACACACCTAAAGGTATGTTAGGTATACTTAAAGTTTAGGTCACCTCAACATCATAACAGTAGGGGATCTCAAACCCCACATACATCAATAGATAAATCATCCAGACAGAAAATAAACAAGAAAAAAATGGCCTTATATATATAGAACATTCCATACAAAACCAGCAGAATACACATTCTTCTCAAGTGCACACAGAACATTCTCAAAGATAGACCATATGTTGAGAAACAAGGCAAGCTTCAATAAATTTAAGATGATTGAAAGCACATCAAACATCTTTTCTGATGACAATGCTATGAAACTAGAACTCAACTACAAGAAAAAATCTAGGAAAGTCGCAAACAAGTGGAGACAAAACAACATGCTACTGAACAACCATTGGATCAATGAAGAAATCAAAGGAGAAATAAAAAAATACCTGGAGACAAATGAAAATAAACCCAAGTGCCCACCATTGGATGAAAGAATAAAGAAGATGTGGTATATATATACAATGGAATACTAATCAGCATAAAAAAAGACAAAATCATGCCATTTGCAACAACATGGGTGGATTTTGAGGGTATTATGTTAAGTGAAATAAGCCAGACAGAGAAAGAAAAACACCATATGATTTCACTCAACTGTGGAAGATAAGTAAACACATGGATAAGAAGAACAGATTACTGATTCTCCTAATTACCAGAGGGGAAGAGAGTGAGGGGAAGGGCAAAAGCAGTAAAGGGGCATATGTGTACAGTGACAGATAAAAACTAGACTCTTGAGGGTGACAACAATGCAGTCTACACAGAAACTAATATACAATAATGTGCGTCTGAAATTACACAATGTTATAAATCAACATGACCTCAATAAAATAACTTTTAAAAATTTCTACAGTATAAGATAATTTTGCTTGTATCATAAATTGCAGTATTTATCATAGTTGATTCTGGAATTTGGATCTGAAGTATTATAGTCCCGGTGATGTTTTAAATGCTTTGCCAGTATGTAAATGATTGTCTACACACACACACACACACACAGAAACGAAAATGTGGGGTTGGAGAGGCCAGACAGGGGGGATGAGATTAGAAAGAAGAGCCATTGAGAACGTTGGGAAAAGGTAATGACAGAGTGCCAGAGAAAAGAGGGCTGAGGGGAGGAAGTTTGATTTGGGAGGATAAACCAAAAGAATCCTTCTAGATTAAAGCAGGCTGGAAGCTGGATGATTTTTTAATATTATTCTCTTATTTAACAGATATAGAAATGAGGGATTGGTGGGAGGTAAAATGTCCCTTAAATGTCACATGAGGGATTTTCCAAGGTAGTAAGTATAAAGGAAGCTGAGGTCAGGGAGAGTAGCTGGAAGCCAGGGAGATTAAAAAAACAAAAAAATCTAGAAGTCAGGGCTGGAGTGGAAATGAGAGGCAGAGTGGGAGGTCCAGAGCTGTGGGAGACACAGCTTGTCACTGATGTGCAGTGCAAATGAGGAAGAGATTTGTCAGTTGGAAGAGAAAGTGACTATAGAGTACTGAGAAAATCGTTTGCTGAAATCAGAGATCAAACACAAGCTCTGAGAGTCAGAACGTCTATCTCCTAGTGAAATGCTGCTTCTGCCACTTCTGTTGTCAGCAGTTCTCTTTCCAGGTGGTGACAATGAGCATGGTAAGAATAACTCTGGCAGCTCCCAGCACAGGTGCAGGGCATCTGGTTAAAAGCATGCTGCTCTTACCACTAACAGTCTGGGCCCTCCTGTCTCCAGCACTCTTCTCCTATTCAGGAACTTGGGGATGGAGCCTGAGGCCCTAGGACAGGCAAATGTCACAGGCTCTGTGTTGATCTTCAGACTCTGGATTCTTTTTCTCTGGATATTTTCAATTTTCATCATGTTTCATTCATTCCTGCTGCTTCTTTTCTCCTCACTTTTCTTGTCCTTCCACTATCCACAGCCTTCCAGGGGCCAGCTTCTTTCCGTGTCATCCAGATCTCATCCTTCGCCAACAGCACCTGGGCACAAATTCGAGGCTCAGGCTGGTTGGATGATTTGCAGATCCATGGCTGGGACAGTGACTCGGGCACTGCCATCTTCCTGAAGCCCTGGTCCAAGGGAAATTTCAGTGATGAGGAGGTGACTGAGCTGGAGGAGCTATTTCGAGTCTATCTCATTGGATTTGTTCGGGAAGTGCAGGACCGTGCCAGTGAATTCCAGATGGAATGTGAGTGTGGTCCTCTGATGTGGGGAGATGCTCAATGACATTTTTCTCTCTCTTAGTTCAAGCTACTGCTCCCTCAGAACTTTCTCCCTTCCTTCCCACTTTACCCAACTGCATGCACACACTTTTCTAGAGTAGTCTTCTACTCAGTCCATACCTCCACAAAGTATTCCAGATTCTTCCTGCTTACTGCACTCTTGTCTGATAGATGAAGTTTCACCTTTGTAACCATTTCCTGGTTTGTTTGTGTATAACTTACTTCTCTCAAACTCCAAGCAAGAAGCCTTCCCTTCTCCTACCCTGTGCCTGGGTGGACTAAAGTGTGACTACTATTCCTTCAATCCATCTCCTTAAGCATTTTATTCTTCTCAATGTAATCCTGCTGTTCACGCTGAAATGCTGCACTCTTGACCCCATCACCCTGCTCCTCATACTTTGCTTCCCTCTTACTCATCATGTGTCATTACAATAGCCCTTCTCCACCATTTAGGACACGCATACCTCTCCCTAGTGCTCTTCTTTCTGAAACACCTCTGAATACTATAATTGGATTATGGCTCACCATCTCCCATCTCAGACTTTTCTCTCCACCAAAATCCAAAATCTTAGGTCCTTTCCCCAGCCCTTTCTTTCTTGTTTGCTTTTAAGTAACTTTTTGTCTGTTTTCCTTCTATCCAGACCCCTTTGAATTCCAGGGCATGGCAGGCTGTGAGCTGAATTCTGGGGAGGCCATAGTAAGCTTCTTGAAGACAGCTTTAGGAGGATTGGATTTCCTGAGCATCAAGAATGACACATGTGTGCCTGCCTCAGAGGGAGGCAGTAGGGCGCAGAGGTTCTGCGCACTCATCTCTCAGTACCAAGGGATCCTTGATATCATAAAGAAGCTCCTTTTAGAAACCTGCCCTCGATATCTCTTGGGTGTCCTCGATGCAGGGAAAGCAGAACTGAAGAGGCATGGTATGTCTTATTCTCTCCCCAGGACTTCTCTATTTCACTTACCACTACCTTTTTTAAATCCAAGAGTAGGAGAGGGGCTTAATCAATAAAATATTTGGTTCCCAAAGGAGTGTAAAGGGTCACTGTCCTAGCTTGTGGGTTTCTGAGTCTCTGTGCTGTAGATCAGAATCATAATCTGACACTCTCTCCACTCCTTCCTGCCCCAGTGAAGCCTGAGGCCTGGCTGTCTAGTGGCCCTGCTCCTGGGCCTGGCCGTCTGCTGCTGGTGTGCCACGTCTCAGGATTCTACCCAAAGCCTGTGTGGGTGATGTGGATGCGAGGTGAGAAGGAACAGCCAGACACTCAGCAAGGTGACATCCAGCCCAATGATGATGGGACATGGTATCTCAGAGTAACCCTGGATGTGGCAACAGAGGAGGCTGCTGGCCTGACCTGCAGAGTGAGGCACAGCAGTCTGGGAGGCCAAGACATCATCCTCTACTGGGGTGAGAAAGAAGTGGGGCCCAGCTGGAAATGGGAGGAGATGGTTCTTAAGCATAAAGGGAGGGACTGGGGAAGAGGTGGGACTTGACACATGAGAAAGAGAGAGAGGGAGAAAGAGAAAGAGAGAGAGAGATTTCCAGGAGTCCAGTCTGAACGTGAATAAAAATAAATGATCTAAGGTATAGAAGAGGTAAAATGAAGGGCCTATGGATATGGATATATGGTGTCTGGGAATGTGGGAGAGGGAGTCAGAGATACCCACACATTGGGAGCAGGTGAATGTTAGTGGTGACACTCATGTGGGCAAAGGAAGGCCAGGAGAATTAGAGAATTTTGAAGAAATAGAGGATTTTGAAGTGACTTCCTTGTGTCCTCTCCCAATTTCCAGGACTTTCCATCTCTATTGGCTTGATAGTTTTGGCAATAATAGTGCCCTCCTCGATCCTTTTGATATGTCTTGCATTATGGTTTTGGAGGCGCCGGTGAGTTTTTATTTTTAAACTTTCTTTTCTGTCCACCCTTTCACTCTTTTCTACTATTTTATCTATTTACGTCACTTTAGCCTCAACCTTTCCAACAGACCCTTTCCTCTTTCTTCCCATTCCCATATTCTTTACGTGAATCTATTTTTTTAAATTGTGGTAAAATACACATGGCAAAAAGCTTACCACCTTAGCCATTTTTACAGGTTCAGTTTAGTAATATTAAGTACACTCACATTTTTGTGCAACCAATCTCTAGAACTCTTTTCATCTTGAAAAACTAAGACTCTATGCGCATTAAACATCTCCCCGTCCCCTGCTTACCCTGCCCTGGCAACCGCCATTCTATTTTCTGTCTATGTAAGTTTTACTACTCTAGGTAACCCATATAAGTGTAATCATCCATATTTGTCTTTTTGTGGCTGGCTTATTTCACTTAGCGTAATGTCCTCATGGTTGATCCATGTTGTAGCATGTGTCAGAATATCCTTCCTTTTTAAGGCTGAGTAATATGGCATTGTATATATGCATATATATATGTGTGTGTGTGTGTGTGTAAATATACATGTCACATTTTATTTATTCATTCATCTGTCAGTGGACACTTGGGTTGGGTCCCCCTTTTTGCTATTGTGAATAATGCTGTTGTGAACATTGGTGTACAGATATCTTTCATGTAGAGCTATTTTTTCCTTGTGTTCCTAACAGGTCATATCAGAATATCTCATGATCTCTCATGATGTCTCCTTTTCCATTTGGAATAAGGACCCAGAAGCCCAGAAGTTCAAGTTGTCAGGCTGGGAATCAATCTCATCATATTTCATAAAATAATCATCATATTTGATCGAATCAGAGTTACCATAGGTTGTACGATGTTATAATTTATATACTAGCAGAAAAATAATTAAAAACTCCAAATTTATTATTAGACAGTATCAATAGTAGGATCTGCCTAGATTATATACATGTGAGATGTGAGAAAGAATGTGTCTGGGAATAAATTAAATATGGTATACAACTTAATGGTGACCTTCCTTTGGCTTCCTAGTTTAAAGCTCTTTTTCTTGCTTCTGTTGAAATATCATTTGTCAAAGTAAGCTAACAACAATTATGCTGGGATAATTGTATTTGCAGAGATGCTGAGTATTTTTAACATAATTTCTCTGTCTCTGCCTGAATGACAATTAACCCTCAAGGCCCAGCTGTGATGCTTCTTCCTCCCGGAAGGCTTCCCTAATGCTGCAATGGGAGTAACCTTCCCTTGTCTGGTGTCACACAGAGATCCACTTTACTTGGTACCCACAGCATTATACTTGTTTTTGTTTTTCTTCTGCTTCTGCTTTAAGTTCCTTGAGAGAAGGGCTTGCTCTATGTGGATCCCTGGCAAAATCTCTTAGTTGCATATGTATTTGCTGAATAAAAGTGACCTAACTTGCTATAACTGTCACGTTGTGGTCTTTTTTTCAAAGTCATCTCCTGCCTTCTTTTTTCCTTTTTAGCTAATATTCTAAGTTTCTCTCTTAGTAAAATATTTCACACATAGGGAAAAAATATCATACTCTCCTTGTTTCTGCCCTGATCTCCTCTGGAGAAAACCACTTGTGTCCATGCTGCACCTGTAGCCTACCTACAAAAATTCACCAGAATAGGATCCTGCTCCTCTTTTTCCCGGTAAGAATGAGGGAAAGGCAGGATGGGTGAAGGGCAATAGTGAAGGTAGGTTATTAAATAATTGAGCAAAAGACTCAAGAGAGCTTTTTTTTTTTTAATACCTGTGCTGTATCAGTTTAGTTATATCTTTGATTTACATTTACCTTTATTCATTCTTTTGTTTATTCCATAGTTTTTTAGAAACCCCCCTTTTAAAATCCAAATTCATTTTGATTGAAACAGCAGGAGAGGGGAGGAGAATTTGAGTATATTTTTTATAGGACTTGGTAAGAGAGGTCAGAGCAAGCAGAAATTTTGAGAAGCCAGGGATATTCGAAGCAGTTCTCCCACCTGGAAACATTAGAACAATACAGATTTTAGGATTTGGGAAGGGTAGCCCTATTGGTCTAGTGGTTAGCATTCAGTGCTGTCACTCCCATGGCCCAGGTTTGTTTCTGGGTCAGGGAATCACACCACCCATCTGTTGGTTGTCATTTTGTGGCAGCTGCATGTTGCTGTGATCCTGACAGCTATGCCACCAGTATTTCAAGTACCAGCAGAGTCACCCATGGTGGGCAGATTTCAATGAAACTTCCAGACTAAGACAGACTAGGAAGAAGGACCTGGCCATCCACTTCCCAAAAAAATTGACCATGAAAACCCTATGACTCAACATAAGAAAGGCCATATACGATAAATCCACAGCTAACATCATACTCAACAGTGAAAAACTCCAAAGATATTCCTCTAAGAACAGGAACAAGACAAGGATGAATGCTCCTCCCACTCTTATTCAACATAGGAAGTCCTAGCCAGAGCAATTAGGCAAGAAAAAGACCTAAAAGGGATCCAAACTGTAAAGGAAGAAGTAAAACTGTCACTATTTGCAGATGACATGATTTTATATATAAAAAACCCCTAAAGAATCCACCAAAACACTATTAGAAATAAAGAAATACACTAAAGTTGCAGGGTACAAAATCAACATAGAAAAATCAATTGCATTTCTATATACTAACAGCAAACTAGCAGAAAGAGAAATCAAGGATACAATCTCATTTACAATCACAAGAAGAAGAATAAAATACCTAGGAATAAATTTAACCAAGGAGGTGAAAGACGTTGAAAATTATAAAACATTTTTGAAGCAAATAGAAGACACAACAAAATGGAAAGATATTCCATGGTCATGGATTGGAAAAATTAACACTTAAAATGTTGATACTTCCTAAAGCAATGTAAAGATTCAATGAAATCCCTATCAAAATCCCAATGATATTTTTCACAGAGATAGAGGAAAGAATTCTAAAATGTATATGGAACAAAAAAGACCCTGAATAGCCACTGGAATACCGAGAAAAAAGGACAAACCTGGAGATAGCAAACTCCTTGATTTCAAAGTACACTACAAAGCTATAGCAATCAAAACTGCATAGTACTAGCAGAAAAAGACACACAGATCAATGGAACAGAATTGAGAGCCCAGAAATAAACCCACACATCGATGGACAGCTAATTTTTGACAAAGGAGCCAAGAACAAACAATGGAGAAAGAAAAGTCTTGTCATTAAATGGTGTTGGGAAAACTGGACAGGCATATGCAAAAGAATGAAAGTAGACCACTGCCTTCCACCATACACAAAAATTAACTTGAAATATTAGAGACTTGAATGTAAGACCTGAAACCATAAAACTCCTGGAAAAAAACATAAACAGTATGCTCTTTGACACCAGTCTCAGCAGTATCTTTTTGAATATCATGTCAACTCAGGTGAGGGAAACAAAAAAAATAAACAAGTGGGATTACAACAAACTAAAAAGCTTCTGCATAACAAAAAAAAACATAAAAGGAAAAGACAACCTACTAATTGGGCAAAGATATTTACAAATCATGTAGCTGACAAGGGGGTAATTTCCAAAATATATAAAGAACTCATGCAACTCAACAACAAGAAAACAAACCACCCAATTAAAAAACAGGCGGGGGGGGGGGGCAGCCTGGTGGTGCAGCAGTTAAGTTTGCACGTTCCAATTCTCAGTGGCCCCAGGGTTCAACAGTTCAGATCCTGGGTGTGGACATGGCACTGCTTGGCAAAAGCCACGCTGTGGTAGGCGTCCCATGCTGTGGTAGGCGTCCCACATATAAAGTAGAGGAAGATGGGCACAGATGTTAGCTCAGGGCCAGTCTTCCTCAGCAAAAAGAGGAGGATTGGCAGCAGTTGGCTCAGGGCTAATCTTCCTAAAAAAAGATAGGCAGAGGATATGAATAGATATTTTTCCAAAGAAGATATACAGATGGCCAACAAGTACATGAAAAGTTGTTCAGCATCACTAATTATTAGCAAAGTGCAAATCAAACTGCAATGACTTATTGCCTCATGCCTGTCAGAATGGATATTATTAAAAAGACAAAAAATAACAAGTGTTAGAGAGGATGTGGAGAAAAGGGAACCCTCATATATTGTTGGTGGAAATGTAAACTTCTGTAGCCACTATGGAAAACAGTATGGAGATTGTTCAAAAAATTAAGAAGAGAAATACCATATGATCCAGCTATTCCACTTTTCGGTATTTAGTCAAAGAGCACAAGAACACTAATTTAAAAAGATGTATGCACCCCTATGTTCATTGCAGCATTATTCACAATAGCCAAGGCTTGGAAACAACATACATGCCCATCAATGGATGAAAGGATAAAGAAGAAGTGGTATATATGTATGTATGTATATATGCATATATATGTATGGATTAAATCAGGTATGTATGTATATATATGTACATATATATGTATGTATATATATGTACACACATACACACACAGACAAATATATATATATTTACATACACAACGGAATACTACTCAGCCATAAAAAGGATGAAATCTCACCATTTGCAATAACATGGATGGACCTTGAGGGCATTATTGTAAAGGGAAATGCCAGACAGAGAAAGTCATATACCATATGATTTAACTCATACGTGAAAAATAAAACAACAAACAAACACAAAGATACAGAGAATAGACTGGTGGTTACCAGAGGAAGAGGAGGTGGGGGGAGAGTGAAAGGGGTAAAGGGGCATATTTGAACAGTGACAGATGGCAACTACACTTTTGGTGATGAACACGATGTTGGCTATACAGAAGTTGAAGTATAGCGATGCACATCTGAAATTTATGCAGTGTTATAAACCAATGTTACCTCAAAAAAAAAAAAACCCACCCATATGAGTAGCAGCAAAGCGGTGTCTGATACAATGCAGGTGGATGAGAGGATGGCTCTAAAAGACCAGACAGGGTTCTGCTTTGCTGTACACAGGGTTACTAGGATTTGAGATAGACTCAATGGCACTAACACAGGAAATGGCTGAAAATATAGGCTTCTCTCCTCTCTGTTAGCATAGCTGGTTACTTCTCCAGAATTCATCAAACTCCACATCGTCTTACAGAGCAGGCATGCTGTTGTGTGCTTGACTGTACCCTCAGCTACAGTCCAGGACTCTGATTAGTCTCTTTCTTGGAATGTAGACTATGAACCAGTAGCAGCAATAATACCTGTGAGCTTGTTAGAAAAAGAAATTTTCATGCCCCACTCTAGACCTATTGAGTCAGAAATTCTAGGAATGTGAACCAGAAATCTGTGTTTTAAGCCTTTTTACCAGATCTTGGAAATTTGCTCTCTCTCTCGTTTGTCCTTTCTCTCTCTCATTGAGAAAAGTTTTATCAGTTTATAAACTTCTCAAAAACCTTTGTGTTTGTTTTTCTTTCTTTGGTCATATCATTTTCTTTATTATTTCCTTCCTTCTACTTTATTTGCCTTTGATTTGTTGTTGTAAAAGGATTCTGATCACCCAATTCCAATGTGCAGAGGAGGGAGTTTCCCCACACATCCAACAAGGAATTCTCTGGACACCAACCGTCTGTCTTATAATTCAACTCAATTCTGGCACCACCTGCCTGGAGAAAGCATCGGATTCCACAGGTTAAGGATTCAGTCCTACAAGACTGCTCCCCCTAGCTCCCTTCAGATACCAATGGCAAGTTCAGGTAGTTAGCTGTGTTCTGACCAACTGGCCATTTATCAGAGGTTCCCCTAGCCTCCTCCTTGGATTCAATTAGTTGGGAGAGTGGCTCACTTCTACTAAACATTCTACTTACTAGATCATCAGTTTAGTACAAAAGGATATAACTCAGGAAAAGCCAGATGGAAGAGATGCATAGGGTGAGGTACGGTGAAAGGGCTCAGAGCTTCCATGCCCTCTCCAAGCTAACACTCTCCTGAATTTTGGTGAGTTCACCTGGAGGCTCTCGGAACCCCATCCTTTTGTGTTTTTATTGAGGCTTCATTATGCAGGTATGATTGATTAAATCATTG